GGGGGGGGGGGGGGGGGGGTAGGGGTGAGAGATAAACTGTCTCTAAGCTCGACACCTCTACAATTCGAAAAGATGAAGAAGCGGTGAAAGAGTTAGTCCGCCAAAAAGCCGCCAATACTTTCACTTAAAAGGACTTCATTATCGCGCGTCATAAGACGCTAACACTAAAATGCGCATTAATTTCTGCTACTAGTGATTGACTGAAACGATTTCCTTTTAAGGATTCCACGGGGTTACCTGATTCTGGGCGCCTCTATTTATAAGGTTACTGTAGACTCAATAAACGACTAAATCCGTGCAGTTATTCTGTTTAGACGCAGAGACATTGTCATTGCACAACCCACCGATGATCAACGAGGTCGTAACGCTTCGGGCCCGAGATGGGACTCGACAACCATAATTGACGGTTCGGAGACTGCTTGTTGATGACATACGTGCCTAAACAAAAAAGGTCTATCTCATATGAAGATCATTTGTATCGAGAGAAGAAAAGGTGTGATCAGTCACAATCATGTCTAATGTACCACTTCGTAGGGAAACATACGCTTGAGGGGAAAAATGGAGAAACGGGCTGAAAAAAATACGGGACCTACTGCGTTCATGCAAAATTCTTCACTCCTTCCATTATACGTTACTTTCCAATGATAGTTATCCTAATATAGCAGTGCATCACGGTACCTAATTACTCAATTGAATGACGCGCACCTCCTTCACTGAGGTTCTCTCTCACTGAAGGAATTCTAAAATTTGGCGGCGAGGCGATGTGATGGTTCTAGGCGACGGACATGAAATGAATCGCACCTCAAGAGCCACTATTGTTTGCTCATGATGCACAAAGATTCTGTGATAGACACCCTCGTTGTGATGTAGCTAGCAGAATCTCTTCTCACTTAGGTACTTAGGTGTATATGAATATGTAAGTTGCAGATGAGGTTGACATCTTGTATGCCGGCTTAGCCGAAAGCTTGCAATAAATAAATAAATACATAGGTAAAAAATAAAGTAATTGAAAGTGGAGAGAAAGATATCCACAAATTTAAAATAAAAACACTAACCTATTTCCTTACTTATGACAACAGTCAACACACCCATTGCATTGGTAACGTCATAATCTGGTGATACCTGCAGTTGATCAGGCAAAGTATCCAGATAATCGGATAGCCTTTAAAATGAGAAACGCATCTTCAATCACACTGAAAACAGAATGGAGCAGAACCTAGCACAAAAGCATAGTTGACTTATTGTCTCACCTTTCCAAAGACTCCTCAGCCGCTTTCTCATAATCTGCTTGAGATACAGCAGAACACAAACCTTCAAATAAACGGCATCATTGCAAATCAAGTTGTTCTACTTTATTTGCAATATTTCAGGGTGGCACAGCGACTGTACATACAACAAAGCTTGTAGGTGACTTCGGATATGTCAAGTAAATTTCAAAAATCCTAATTTTTAACAACGCCATGTGGATTGACTGGTAATGACAGCAGGTNAGTTTTTATGCTGAGGCTAGAAAGGGATCATATGATGTCTCCTTATCACCTTGACTAAGACAATCCCAAGTTTTATAAATTTACTGTTTTACACAGTTTCGAAGTAAGATCTGGATCAAAGCACCGGACAGCTCCTCTGTTCTCACAACTGATTCGATCCTCTGTCCTATATCACCTCCCACATATATAGCGTTCGCTTGACATAAGATATAATTCTTCCCATGTTCAGATTACAATTTGGGAACTGACCGACTAATCAAGAGTAACAGTAAAAATATGACCCTCAAGAGCCGTTGTCTAATACAGAAGAGTTACTTTAACTGATCACAAATCAAGCGAGTGGAAATTCTAGCCCTATACCCGAAACCAAAACTGGTCCTTGAACAATCTCGCTCAATTCATCGCTGCGATTGCCTTGGCAGGAATATTATTTTAAGTTTCACATCGGTCCTCTCTTGTAAGATGGCGCTCTCAACACCCACGGAACAACTAAGATACTTAGGCCCACGTTTCTTCAATCGCAGAAATGTCTAACGAGAAGAGTTAATGTAATACGGGTTATCACAATATCAGTCATATCATGCTGTCTTCGCCCATCCCGTTTCCATAAACAAAATGTAACAAATCGAAATCAGTGGGGCACGCAAAAAAAGTAAGCAAACATAACCAAACATTTTCCCTTATCATGCAAAACTGTGGAAAGGGAGCTTATTTGGCATCTCAGCATCACAAATGCAGCTTTAATCTTCTGCTTATTCGATAAAAAGGGGATAACCCTAATAACTCGATGTCAAATGGTATGAAAGACGTTATTTTCAAATGTTAACGATAGGCAAATGGTTGGGCGCCTTTAAAGCCAACGTTTACAATCAGCTTTGAAACTGCTTGCCTTGCAACTCAAGGAATTTCGGTGCAACCTAAGTGGTGAGCGACTCGGAAGGTTATCCATGACTGAACAAGCAAAAGATAAAAATAAATACATGCAAGAAATAAAAAGCATACCACGTCTGTAAGCACGCAAAATGACAGGACGGCATAATCCAGAAATCATATTAAACCTGAAACCATGGATCTCATTAGGAGAGAACGCTGAATAAAGGAAGCTGTAAAACGTATGGCTGTTTTAAAAGAACCAAATCATTCATAACATTTACCACTTCTCGTGCAAGTGTCGATTTATGGAAGCTTTTATAAGATTGTGTTGAATGCAATCGTGCTAAGTGCCGCATTGGAATTTCAAGTTAGAGAACAAGTAATGAGAAGTTTTTCTAATAACAAACATAAAGGTTGACGATGAAGCATAAAAGTGGGTTCATTCAACCTCAATCAATGCTGCTGAAGGGATAGGGTATAAAAAGGGATCATTGGCTGAGGTTGACAAAGAAGTGCTCCGATACAAAGAGAGATAGGTTTTAATCCTTCACCCTGCATTAATCCAGTCCTTCCAACTTTTTGCTTGCTCGAAGTGATCTACCAGCATGGGCCAAACCCCATGCAGTTACCGAGGGTTGCCCGCACAAATGGCGCATATAAAAGGCTTTCATTCTTATCAACACTTCTACCAAAAACCAAAAGACATGTCTCTTCATGTACAGTGAGATTAAAGGTTACTTCGTCAGCGATACATAAAGACAAAACCTATTTTTGGCATCACGCAAAAGCCAACAAAACAAGCGAAACTAAAGAGGTCTGACAACATTTCATGAACCGATTCAACATCAGGGAACTATCGATCCTCTATTCCACAAAAACGGTACAATCAAAATGTCATTGAATTAGGCTAACCAAACATTAATACGAATGAAGATATTTATATAATAAAAATGGGTGTGTGTCAAGTCGTGCGTCCGAGGGTGCGCGCGGCAAATTGCGCGGCGAAGTTCGTGGCGAATTTGAACGACTCCGGCGCCTATCATTGGGGCCCAAATCTGAAGCAAGGTAGATTAGTAAAGTCACCTGATCCTACTATTCTACTGTACTTCAAAATTGGGCCCAAATAATAGGCGCTAAAGACGTCAGAATAGTTATGGGTTTCGCCGCGCAGTTTGACGCGCGCACCCTCGGACGCACGACTTGGCCGTCCCCAATAATAAAAATACGTTGAGCGCTTGTGTAATTACGTACCGCAAAGGTACCGTGATTTACATCTAAATTGACGGGAAACCGAATGGGTGTGTGTCGGGGGACGGTACGAACGTGCGTCCGAGGGGTGCGCGCGGCAAATCGCGCGGTGAAGTTCATGGCGAATTTGGACGACTCCGGCGCCTATCATTGGGGCCCAAGTATGAAGTAGAGTGGATTAGGAGGATCATCTGACCCTGCTATACTACCCTACTTNATTAGCGCCGCAGTCGTACAAATCGTCACGAACTTCGCCGCGCAATTTGCCGCGCGCACCCTCGGACGCACGTTCGTACCGTTCCCCGGAACCAAATTGGCCCAAATTTGAAGTAGAGTTGGTTAGTAGGATCATTTGGCCATATTAATATACTCTAGTTCAAGTTTGTGCCCCGATGATAGGTGTCAAAGTCGTCCTAAACGCCACGAACTCGGCCGCGTCCATCCAGTTCCGGGTGAATGATCCGTCCCTCACGGGGAACGGAACATTCACCCAATTCTGGATGGACAAAATTCAAAACGCGCAACGAAATTCGTGGGAATTGAAACGACTCAAGCGCCTATATTGCCCGAGTCGTTTCAATTGTTACTTTTTTTAGTAATAATGTTATTGTTCATTTTCACGCAAGATGTAAGCCGTAATCAGTACAGTACCGCATATTCCAATGTTATGAGTCAATTTTATTAACTTCATTAAGGGCAACCAACAATGATAATAAAGCCTCAGTTATATATACCAAAACTCTTAGAATAGCTAAAACGTGCTCCATGAGGGAAACATTTAATAATATGTTGAGGGATATGATTGATATGCTAAATTCCAATGGATACAGTAAAGAGTTCATTGTTAACACTATTATAAAATATCTATATAGAAACAAATATATTGGTTATAAATTTAAAATAATTAACAACGTTAAAGAAGTGGAAAATTCGTTACTACTGCCTTAAGTAATCATCTGCCTGCCTATAGTGTTTTTCAGACGGGTCCATGGTTCTCAGTTAAGGAAGGTACATGATTAATGTTTGCCTCCTTACTAATAGTTACTAGAATATTTCTATTTAACGTAGTTCTTCGGTCAAATTTAGTTGTCACGATCTACTTCTACTAGTACCCTTTAAGACAGCTTTGACGGGAAGATACCTTATTTATACTCATTGTCTACCTATTTGTTCATTCTTCTTCACCTTTCTCCATTGTAGATATTCATATCTATTCTTATTCATTCATTATTTATTGTCTCACAGCACATTTTCATTATATTGTAACTTCTTTATCAACACCCTTTAAATAGCCATCACCTAATCACTGAAGGGCCTCGGGTGATGACTTACATTGGTACATATGATTAAGAGGAGAAACGAAATTTTTTTGACTTGATGTTTTGTTAACTGCTGTTATATCGCAGCAGTACGCGTTCCGAAAGCCTTACAAGGTTGACGATTTGTGGACAAAACTTCAACTCGGACGGGACTCGAACCCGTACTTGTCCTTTCCGAGGACGGTGTTCTTATCCCTTACACTACCGAGACCCCGCTTGCCCTCGCCTTCTTAATGGCTTATATGCCATAGCTTTGAATTTTTTTTGTTTTTCTTCTCTTGTACCCTAATTTCTAACTTATGTCACTCTCTAATAAAACAGGTTGTTTGAAGTGGACCAGCAGGCTTGACTCAATAAAACTCGAGCTTCATTCACATCCATATATTACATTTGGAATCGTTCTAAATCTAAACTAACCTACCAAACAGCATGTTTCTCATTCCTGCGGAGGAGCAGAGGTGAATGATGTGCGGGTCTAGGTAGTTACCAGACTAGGCATTGAATTGTATTGCTTACCCTGACTAGAATGTAAACTTACCTTAACCCTGCATTAATTGTGTACTGCTTAAATTATGTACTGTTTTTATGTGTGTCGAAGATCACACATAAAAAACATCAGGTGCACAAACTCGTAAATTGATACTCGAGGTAGCGCGGCAAGTTGGCGCGGGAAAACACAGTCCTAAGAGTCACACTGTCTGGAGGGATCACTTCTGCGTCCGTCAGTGTCGCCGTGCGTCCGTCTGGGGTCGCCTCCATTGCTACTAGGCTGGAGCCGTCTGTGAGGGGTTCGTATTCCCTGCCTCTGTCGTCGCCAGTAAGCCGCTACAGCCACTCCCCTGAGTGTCCCAGGCGGTTGTAAGTTGTTTTATTGTGTGAGCGTCTTTGATAAGGAATTTTATCTATTTTATCGCATTGCTTTGTTTCTTTTGTGTGTAAACAATAAATAAATTGATTTCGTGAGACAATTTTTTGGTGGCACCACCTCCGAATGGTTATAGTCGTTTTTATACCTACTCTTGTCCAACTATGGCGCTTGAGAAAATCGTGCCCTAGTTTGAACAATTTTGTATAGCGGGAATTGAAAACATTCTTCCGGACTGTTTTCTTTCGCTAAGTTTTAACTGCAGTCACGGTAATCGTTTAATCATTTCGAATGTGAGAGACATACTGATGTGTCAAACGAATATCCTGGATCTCTTACCATCTGTGTGCGCTACTTTTTGCTTTTTCGAAACAACTTTTGTGGTTTTTCAACAGGGGATGATAGGTGTCTGGATGGGATGAAAGGCCTCCGATCAAAAGGTCACATCACATTTGATCTCCAATCCATCGATCTGGACGGTCCAAAGAACGACAGGCAGGCAATCGACTCTGTGAGGCTCAAGGGTGGCCGTCCTCTCGCCCACTTAGCCCCCGTCGTCACGAAGGAACCTGTTTTTCTATCCAGAACTCACGTATTCTCTAATCACTTTAATCATAAGCTCTTTTTAGTCTTGTCACATTGTACTGTGCTAGTGTGCGGTCCGAGAACCGATCCGATACATCCACCACATGGAGGCCGAATCATTTTCGTGTAGTACTAGAAGCTCTCGAGGGAAAAGCTTACCCCTACTGTACAATTGAGGGGTGGTCAATGGATCATGCTCAAACAGTCCTGGAAAACTTAAAACACTGGCCGGAGCAGGTGCAGATTTTGAGTGCTTTGCTCAACACAGACCCAAGGTATGCGTACGAAAAATTGAAAGAATTAGCGATCAGCATTAAACAAGCAAAATGACAAGTAGCCTCGCACTCCAACCCACACCGCGGCGTCTCGAAACTGAATAGTGAGAGCGCGCGAACATCGACGAGAGAGTTCTACTCTGAAAAACAAAGGAGCCAGTCAAAAAGTGAAAGCCCCAAAAACGATACAATGGCGCCTAGTCGAGCAATTTTCCAAAAACCAAAGCATTTCCAGACCCTGAAAGAAATACAGGAGATCCTTCCCAATAGTGTGGAGACACGTAGGTGCTACAACTGCTGCACATGGTAACATCTNGGCTCGAAACTGCGCAGTGAGAGAACCAAGAGTAAACCGTGAAAGAGAAGAGATGAAAGAAGAACGGAAAATGACCAAAGAAAAGTCGCTAGCGTCCATGATTGAAAGCGCAAAGTTCATGGAATTAACTAGCAAAAGAAAGAAAGCTAAGATGGTTCGTCACTCAAGATAGTGCCAAAAAGATTACGCCGTATTCGCGGATGCTCATGCAGGTGTCCTAGCCGACATTTCAGTGCAAACAAGGTGGCAAAGAAATTAAGTAAACAACTTACTGGCCGGAAATGACCAAAGGCATCCATAGAAGGGCCAAAGAGTGTAGAACGTGTTTCGTTAGCAATCCAAAAAGAACGATAACACATCGTCGAAGCCTACAGACAACAAAGTGATACGAAGTTGTTGCAGCTCATCTTCTGTAGTTGGGAAGAACAACAGCAGGCAACCATCACGCAGTATTCATCATAGATCATTTTTCAAAATTTGCTGCAGCCTACCCAGTGGCTGATAAAAGTGCAGAGACTATGGCAAGAGCAATTTTCTGCAAATGGTTAGCCGATGGGTGTCGTTGGCCGGAAGTAGTCTTATCAGGCAGAGGAGGGGAGTTTGAAAACAAAATAATGGAGGAAACGGAAAGTATGGCAAATATAAAACACATCTCCACAAAATGATATAACCCTCGAGAATTTAATTACAGAAAGGCGGAAGGGAACCACGCTTGCAATGTTGAGAAGAACCACGAAGGCACCCCTCAGAATGGGATGAAAGACTTCCTTTCTCAATGATGGCATACAACATGTCCCCTCACAGGTCCACCAGCGAAGGTCCATTTTTCATCCTACGGGATCGACCCCAACTATTCCTTAGACGGGATTCGGGTGCAAGAAGTATCGGAATATACAATTGATAGAACCATAGGCGACATCATAACAGCCGTAGTCAAGGAATACAAGAGATACACGAGAGAGTAAAGAAAATAATGATAGCTCTTGCGTCTATGAAGAAAGAGTATAATAATGAGCACAACGCAGATTGCGCTTAACACTCGGCAGTAGGCGATAGGGTGTACGTCAAAAGTCTCGCTGAAAAATGGAGCACACAAAACTTTCGTGCGAATGTACGAGACTTTTCAGAGTTATCATGATGAGCCAAAATCCAGCAACGGTCGGAAGAATTCTTGAGAACAGCGATCCAGTACAGTTACCGAAGGATCAGTTAAGGATCGTACCCTCGTGCATACCAGATGACAGATTAGACACAGTAATTAGCAGAGGAAAGGGAGGACGAAAGAAAAATGGCTGTCATGTTTAAGTCAAGCGATTAAGTACTCGTTTTTCCAGAGGTGCGACTCTGTCCACCAGCACACGGCCTGGCCACCTTCTTTGTCAATGTGTAGACGACTGCCTTTTCAATGCGAAGTTGGTGGACATCAAAGAAGTGTCTTTCCCAGGAGCATTTGCAAACAAGCAAGTCTGCACAGTGTGGAAAGCCTGGGTAGCATGCAGCATATTCTGCCGAACATCGACGTGGCAAAAAAGACCAAGTTCTACGGAAAAGGTGTCATATGTCTCGACGACGCCGTGCTCAAAACTGTGTTGAAGTCCGCACACGAAAAATTCCTTGAATGGGCGGAGTTTCTGTGTGAAACAGATGCCATAGAGAAGCACTTCCCAGTGGAAGATTACTGCGTAGAAGGGATGTATAACAATGCGCTGAAGGCCCCGAAGAAAGAACTCAACGAGCAAATTAATGAAACACGCCTTGCCAAAGAAGGACCCACTATTTAGGCGGCGCCGGAATGTGGAGCTGTAATGGAGGCTTATGGGATGCGCGGAGGCATCCGAACTGTTGAGACGATTACATTCAAGACACTCCTTGGAAGGATGAAGGAATGGCACACATTTCCCATCTGGGTAATTGTCTGGCTCATCGACCAATGTGAGAAGGGATGTAGTAGCAAAGATAGTTGCTGCTTGTGCCAAGCATTTTGAGGAGGGAGAAAAGTGGTGACCGCATGGACACCTTGCTCGCATGAGAACATCGAGAAATAGAAGAATATGTGTGCAATTTGGAGTTCAATTGACGAAAAAGATGACGAAAAGAAAAATTTTCTTGAACTGCTACCACCAAAGTGCTTAAATGCAAAATATACGCGGAATACGGGTCCCCAGAGACTACCCACTCTTACTCAAACTCACTTACTCAAAGTACACAGGTGTCGCCAATGCAAGAAGCCTGTACAAGAGCATAAGAATGTGTGTCCGGGCGGCGAAGCTACCAGCAACGAAAACGCCGCCGACGACGGCATCTCGAAGGAGAGGGATGTCTGGGTGGGTTGAAAGATCTCCGATCAAGAGGTCACGTCGCATGTGATCTCCAATCCATAGAGAGGCAATAAGTGGTGATGGTCAACCTCTGAATGTTACCTTTGAATTCTGGACGATTCTACCAGCGCTCACGCGCGCCAATTCTACAGGGTGTTCCAAAATTATTGGCGCCGAGCAATATGCCAGCCTTTATAGCAATATATTTCAAACTTCTCAGTTGCGAAAGACGATGGCATCTCTATGCACGTTAGCCAGCACTATGTGCTACAACATGCTACAGTCGCATTTCAAAATATCCCACGTGAGCGCGGATAGGAGTCAAAGCTTGCTCTCGACTTGATCGCATGTGGCATGCAGGTATCCTCCTCCATTTCTTCCCAGCCATTCTTCAGCCTTTGCATTCTAGGATTCCAAACTGGGATTGCAAACTCGACAGGTCCTCTTCTAACCATGGACTAGTCGTGGGGTCAAGTGAGTCAAGTTCTGGAAATAAGATGACCATCCCTCTTCACCAATGAAGTCGGGCAGCTGTCGTCGGCACCACTCGCGGGCAAGCTTGGCTCTGTGGGCTGGAGTAGCGTCCTGCTGGAAGGACTATGAGATGTTTCAGAAAACGTAGTCGGATCAATGTTTTATTTACTTCCATTAGTACGCCGTTTGAGTACTGGTCTTGGTCAATTTTTACGCCTGCACTGAAGAAACCACGAGCGGCTTACACTTGCCAGTGATTTCCTCGAAAAACTAAAGTGATTTCCTTTACTGTTCTGATAACAACCTTTTTGTGAGATATTACACGCTGGGCGTTCCTTTCCAAGACGCGAACGTTTTGGTTGTTGAGGAATGGCTTTATCGTAAAAGATTTCTTGACCAGAGAAACCGACGAAGAGTTGCGTGTCATCACTTTCGACTTTCTGCATTTTTGGCCCGGCAGTATCTGTTGAGATCGGGATTGAAGCAAAATTTCTGTATACGATAGGAACGGCAGTGAAGCTCCTGCATGACATTCTTCCATCGCGATAACTCCTGTAAGCCGTGCCCGTTGACTTCCTTTTGATGGGTCACCCAGAATCCCGACCGATTCGCAGACGGACCATTTTAATAGCCCTATCTTCAGAAACATTCTACCTTTCTACCTTTCCTGGTTTGTCTCTGATTCATGCTTTTTTTCTGTATCGCTTAATAGCCTCCTATACGGTTATTACAAAAATCCCAAGAAATTTCGTAATGCCCTTCCACCTCTCGCGTGTCAATGATTTCAAGCGGCATTGAGTGAGCCTCGTCCGTCTGAAAGATATTGGGAGTCCCACTTCAATAGCCATGCATATTGCAAGAAAACCTTCTTATGCAACTAATTAATAACAGGTTCTGTGAATTTTATATATTATTTCTACCTTAAAAATTCCTGACTTTTGGCGCCAATAATTCTGGGACACTCTGTATTAGGAACAGACGGTACTTTATGTTCCTAGAATTTGTGATGATTGAGTCGAACTCAAGGTTCTTGTAGGATGCTGAAATGTTCGACTGTATAACTTCAACAGTTGATTCCATCCATTTATGTTCCAATTAAGGCGGAATCGCGATAGCGTAAGAATTTGAGGTACCCATCAAACTCGTGTGGAATTGTATCATTGAAATCATTCCAGTAGGAATGCCGAGGTTTACCGAGGGCCGCACATGCAGAATGATAATTTGGTCTTGCGCAAATCAAATAGTGTCCTCGTCCTGAGGTGACTCGCCTTTTGTTACCTCTATGTATTACCGTGTGAAATTTCGTTAGCTTCGCTTAGCTTAGATTGTAGACCTTGTGGACCACTGTGACAGGAGCAGTAGTGGTCTGACTTAAGTCTTACCTTGGAAACACTGAGAAAGTAAGCATTATGTTAGGACAATAAGCCTCTGCGTCAAAAGACATATATCAAGGAGCGGTGGCCTCGGTAAATCCTACTATATATAACGCGCTAAGTGTGTCTGTTGGTTTGTCTGTCTGTGTGTGTGTGTGTGTGTTTGACCGGAAATACATAACTCCGGTTCCAGTGGACCTAGAGAGTTCAAATTTGGTAGGAGTACAGGGGGCAGGATAGGAACACTAATGGTGGGCGGCATGGGCGGACTCCGCCCACAGGGGGCGTGGTTTGTGCGAAATAAATGTTTGACCGGAAATTCACAACTCCGGT